GTTTGAGCCGCACGAAGTAATACAATCAGTAGCCGGAGAGGTTTCATCTCTCCCGTGGATTAGTCCCGATCTATCGGAGATACCACGCTAAATCGTTGTCCTCTACGTTCGTTTAGCTACTTTTACATTATATCAGAGCTTTAACGTCCAACACTCTGTTCGTGTTCAATCATGGCTTCCGACGATGAGTCTTCCGTCGCGACGCCGCAAGGCAAGGGCAAGGAGAAGGTCGAAGATTCTTTGCCCATGTCTATCAGCTGCATACCTCCGATAGTCCCGGCAACATGCTAGTCGGAGAGATTCTCACCGCAAGCAACTATGGTGAGTGGTTTTTGGATATGAAGGATACGCTCCTAGCAAAGAACAAGTATGGTTTCGTTGATGGGTCGATTCCGAAACCAACTGCTTCCTCCGAGCGCGCTCCTTGGGTCCGTTGTGATACCATGGTCAAAAAATGGCTCAAAACATCCATGGATAAAGAAATCCGTAGCAGCATTCGCTTTGATGAAACAACCCGCGAGATCTCGGGTATTTGCTTGCCCGTTTCGGGCAGGGGAGCCATTCCTGTGCCTATGAACTTAGGCGTCTCATCTCGCTTCTTCAACAAGAAAAGAAGCCCGTTTCCACGTTCTATACAAGGCTGCGTTCTCTCTGGGAAGAGGCCTCTGCGACTGCTCCGCTTCCCACCTGTACCTGTGGGCAGTGCATGTGTGATGTCTCCCTGAGTGTACGCGAATATCAGGAGTGTGGTTGCCTCTTTGATTTTCTTATGGGTTTGGACGATGCGTTTGGAGCAGTACGAACCCAGGTATTAGCAATGAAACCTGTTCCCAATCTTGCTGAAGCTTTTAACATTGTTTTGAGTGTCGACCATCAAAAGTTGATTTCTCAAAACCGCAACATCCAACCGGAAGCGGCAACTTTCATTGCTAAAGGTGAGCCCGACAAGCGCTCTCGTCCAGCTGGCGACCGTGATCGCGGAACGGGGGAGCGTGATCGCGTTTGTTGTACCCACTGTCATCGCCCTAGGCATACTCGCGAGACGTGCTATGAGCTCGTGGGATACCCGCCGCGTGATCGGGACAAGGCACAGTCCGATTGCCCTCGCCGCCGACCTCGTCCACCTGATGAAAATAGTCGTGGCTCTTCAGGGAGTGAGCCTAAGGCTTCTCAAGTCGAGGCAGCCTAGGCTAGTCCTGTCGCTCGCTTCACGTTGGCCCAGCTTAATTAGTTGAAGCAGTTGTTCAATCTCCCTGATATGTCCGTGGAGGATCCTTCACCTCACATGGAAGGTATTATTTCTGACATTTCTGAATGGTTGTTAGACTCTGGCTGTAACGAACATATCACCATGGATGATTCTTTATTAACTAGCAAAGAGGCGCATGCTAGTGGTCAACCCGTTCGTATTCCGAGTGGTGAAAGTATTCCTGTTAAACTTGTTGGTTCAGTGGAATTACAACCTGGTTTTACATTGCGTCGTGTACTGCATGTTCCAGAATTTCGCTACAATTTGGTCTCTGTCAGCCAATTGACCAAAGATAATCATGTGGCCCAGGTGTTTCTTGATGGTTTTTGCATTATCCAGGACTTAGTCTACAAGAAATTGATTGAGAAGGGTGAGTTCCGTGACAAGCTATACTATTTGCCTTTATTTGGAAGTGGCGGGTCACAGGCTTGTGCGGGGCAGCAGGGCAGTTCAGTTTCCGAAGCTACTGGGCATGCTAGGCTTGGACATCCCTCTCCAGATAAACAACACTATATTAGTCGTTTATTGTCTTTGTCTTTTGGTTCATATGCTCGGCCTTGCCACTCTTGTTCTCTGGCAAAACATACTCGGCTTCCATTTCAGTCTAGCCTGATTAAAACTACTTCTAGTTTTGAAGTTGTCCATGTTGATCTTTGGGGTGGATATAAAGTTACTTCTCATAGTGGTGCTCACTACTTCTTAACTATTGTCGATGACTATACACGGGCTGTTTGGGTCTATTTGCTGCGTTTTAAATCCGATGTTGCGCGCCATCTCCTGTAGTTTTTCCAAATGGTTCGTATGCAATTTGGCAAGCAGGTCAAGCGTATACAGGCCGACAATGGTTATGAGTTTAATACAGAACCTCTACGGGATTACTATGCCTGCAAGGGCATTTTATTACAGACTTCCTGCACTGATACACCTCAACAAAATGGCGTAGTGGAAAGGAAGCACCGTCATATTCTGGATACAGCCCGTGCTCTCCGATTTCAGGCTAGTCTGCCTTTGCGATTTTGGGGGGAATGCATACTCACTGTTTACCTCCTTAATCGTCTCCCTACTTCTGCTACAGGAAAGTCACCTTTCGAGCGTCTTTTTGGGAAGCCTTTTCTTATCATGACCTACGGGTCTTTGGATGCTTGGTTTACTATAAGGATACCCATGCTCACATTGACAAGTTTAGTGAGCGAGGGAGGGCTGGTGTATTCATTGGTTATGCGGCCACACAAAAGGGTTTCCGCATTTATGATTTGGTCACTCGTCGTATCTAAACTTCACGGGATGTTCAATTCCATGAATCATCGTTTCCTTTTCAGGTCGATGTTCAACGCGAACTCCATTGGGTCCCTCAGCCGCTCCTTGATCCTCCTACTGGTCCGGAACGGCCCCCAATCAAGATTCCTACGGCTTCTGCTTCCACCGATCCAGTGTTGCCGCCCATTGATGATGTGTCCAGCCCCCTGCCGAGCAGTCTTCCTCCGACCACACCCATCACCGGCGATTCATCTAACAGCCCGACCACTGCCTCAACCGCGCCTCCATCGCCCAAGCGCCCCGTTCATCTCCTCCCCCACTTCGATGTGGTGATTGGCAGCGTGTGCGCCCTAAGTACCTGGAGACTTATGAGACTTATCATGCGTCACAAGAGGGACGTTCCTCTACTCTTGTCCATTACCCTCTCACCTCTTATGTTTCTTATGATGGTTTTAAACCTTCGTACTATGTCTTTTTTGCAGCTATGACCCGTGAAGATGAGCCCACCTGTTTTCGCCATGCTTATCGTGACCACCGATGGCGTGCCGCCATGACCATGGAAATCTTGGCACTCATTCAGAATAGCACCTGGACGCTTGTTGACTTGCCTCCTGGCAAGCGTGCCATTTCCTCGAAGTGGGTGTACAAGATCAAATTTTATCCAGATGGCACTATCGAATGTTTCAAGGCTCGCCTAGTTTCAAAGTGTTATACGCAGATAGAGGGTATGGACTTCCATGATACTTTTGCTCCTGTGGCAAAATTGGTAAATGTTCGTTGTCTCATCATTGTTGCAGTTCATAAAGGCTGGCATCTACATTAGCTAGATGTTAATAATGCCTTCCTCCATGGTGATCTAAGGAGGAAATGTACATCACTATCCCTGAGGGTTTTCGGCAGCCAGGGGATACTCGAGTATGTCGTCTTCACAAATCCTTGTATGGCCTCAAGCAGGCTTCTCGCAAATGGTACCAGAAGCTCACCCTGGCTTTCTGAGAGTTCGGTTTTCGGTCTTCCCCAGCTGATGCATCTGTGTTTATCTACCAACAAGGGAGTACATTCGTTACTGCACTCATATATGTGGATGATGTTCTCTTGGAGGGAACAACTTGCCATTTATTCAACGTGTTAAGCGTTTCCTTGATGGCCGGTTTAGCATCAAGGATCTTGGTCCTGTTCGATATTTCTTAGGCATTGAGATTGCTTGCCTATCTTCTGGCGTTGTCCTTAGTCAACGCAAGTATGCCTTGGATATCTTGGAAGATGTAGGTGTTCAGGGTTCTCAGTCTAGTAAGTTTCTTGTCAAGCAAAATCACCAGCTCACTCGCCCGACTACAAAAGTTCTGCCTCATCCTTCTCTGTATCGTCAACTTGTTGGTCGCCTTCTCTATCTCACGATCACTCGTCCCGACATCACCTATGTTGTCAACATACTGAGTCAGTTTGTTCATGCTCCTAGCCAGATACATTTGGATGCAGCGTTTCGAGTTCTTCGCTACATCAAGGGCTCCCCGGGATAGGGTCCTTTCTTCCCCTCTGATGCACCACTTCGTCTTACTACCTATTGTGCTGCTGATTGGGGTGGTTGTCAGCAGACATGTCGTCCCACGACTGGCTATTATATCACTCTTTTCGCTTCCTTCTGTCCAAGGTGCACGTTCGTGACCTTCACGCTCCAGCTTGCGGGGGAGTATTGAGCAGTGTCGATGATGAGCCCACTGCCGACGTGAAGAAGCCCAACGACACGTCCATGCAGCTGATTGCATGCATGCCGTGTCCAAGGTGGAATCAAACCCAAGTCCTTGTAGCTCTAAATATATCCTAGTTGATTGTATAAAAGGATGTAACAGGAGCTCGTTTGGGTTTGAGCCGCACTAAGTAATAAAATTAGTAGCCGGAGAGGTTTCATCTCTCTCGTGGATTAGTCCCGATCTATCGGGGATACCACGTTAAATCGTTGTTCTCTATGTTCGTTTAGCTAATTTTACACAGCAAGTTCATCCCCTCTCTAATTCGGGTTCCTATCCCCTCGTTTAAACCATCGTTGATTTAGTTTACTCTTCCAATTCAATGTCCACCATCTGGTTTGGCGTCCAAATTATAAGAGTTGTGTGATCAGACTACGGCGATGAAGATGAACTTGAAACGGCCAATTCCATCGGCGGTGTTAACCTACACTTTCCCGTCGGCGATCAAGAGAACACGTCCAACACTTTCCCGTCGGCTATCTAAAGAACATGCAGTGTTCGTTGGTTTTCCTGATAAACTTGAAGCAGGATTTTGTGGGAAAGAGAAACATAAAATAAAGAAATAATATTTGTGTGACTAATAAATAATAATCTTTTATTGCGGAACAGTTAATAGACATAATATAATTATATAAAATAATTTAAATATAAATAGGTTCAACCCCTCTGGTTAAGTGACGATTAATAATCAATGGTCCTAATTTAATGCATGAGATCCCACGACTGAAAAGGTGGCGGCACTGGTACCGTCACTGAACAATATATTATCTAGTCTCTGCGACGGCGCCCACGGTGCCCATTAGCGCCGCCGCGTCCTTGATTATCGTCAGCACGACCGCGGGACTTGCTTTGCGAAGGATCGTGGCCCTGGTTCGCTGAAGGTTCTCCATAATCCGTCAGCGACAGCTTCATCAATGCCCTTCCCTCCACCACTGTAATCGCGTCCTCTGTCAAAATGAATGTATAGATTAAAAATAGTAATTTCACAATTAAAACGAGGATGAGAACGGAGAGCCCATTCGGTAGGTAGCTAAGTTTTGGTCGGTTGGATTGACTAATATCTTAACGCCCCCAGATCAGTATCATCAAGGCAACATGCTTCCTCCACTAGTGTGGACCTTGTTTTATTTAGTTGCACTTTAACGCGTCTCTCGATCAAATGAAAAGGCATCAATCAAATTAATTAATTACTGTTTCCAGTTTCGGGGAACGTGCACGTTGGTTCGCATCGGTATGGGAGAAATTGCACAAAGTTTACTGATCTTTAATTAGTTAAAAAAATATACTGATTTAACAGTAAGCAAATTTAATTTCTAGGAAGTTAAGCTATAGCCACCTAGGCTAGCTATGATTTTGAGGAATATAGAGTCTAGACTCCGAGGGAATGCAATGATGAACGATCAAGAAACTCATTGTGGGTTTGTGAAGTACAAAAATCATCATATCATGGGTAGCCTAAGCAAATATATATGCAGAGGCAAATAAGGAGATCGATCGATCGGAGAGGGCATAGAGTAGGTAGGTACCTGAGAAAGAAAGAGTGGTGTAGCGAGCGGAAGAGAGAAGAGGCAGCAGCAACGACAGAGCAAGCAGTAGCAGTACAAATGTGGATAGCCGGAACGACGCCATGATCGATCTTTGTCAGAAGTCAAATTGGGGAGCTAGCTAGAGGCTAGAGGCAAATCGGGGAGGGGGTTCCGGCGCTGACCATCGGCTGTATTTATAGAGCTACAGCAGGAACCAGGCGTGTGAGATTGTCTGCTTTGCCACGTGGCGGGTATTGATAGGCGGATTAGGGTTGACATTCGCCATACGGCGGTGGTGGGTACCACGTTCGCCCTGAAGGAAGTCGTACAATTCACGGGGGGTCAGGTCAACGAGTGCTGCGGTGCCTTTCTTCACCAGAAAAGGGGAACGAACTACTACTGCATATATATATGCCTTGTAATTTCTGCAATATAATTAAATACAGGCTGTGGCCCTTAATCTCATTACAGCTTTGACTTCATTTTCTCTTGGCTTAATTGCAAGTTTGGTCACTCGAATTTCTATAAAATTTTACGTTTGCCACTCAAATTAATTTATTCTATTTATAGTCACTCGAATTAGTTGAACAGTTCAAGTTCGGTCACTCTCCGTTAACCTCCGTTAACTTTGACTGACGTGGCGGTCAACTCTGACAGTTGACCGTTAAATGTGTGACGTGGCAAATAAAAAATAATTAAAAATTAAAAATTAAATTTTTAGAAATTACACATCATTATTAAAAAAATATAAAAAATGAAAAAAAAGAAATTATCACAATTGTAAGTTCTTATCCCCCTTTTAATTGAAAATGTGACGTTTTAATCTGTCCTTAATTTGCTCCTCTTCCGGCGACGGACGGCAGGCGTTTCAGAGAGACTCCCCACTGGCCGTCGACCTCTCGACGGCGATCCTCCAACTCTCCGAGAACAGCGACCTCCAGAAGATCCACAACAAATGGCTGCTCCACAACTGGGAAAAGAGAAGCGGCCGAGGTGGGCGTGGGTTTGACGCCGGCGGGCTTGTTGACCGCGTGTTTTTGAAGAGAGACACCGTTGATTTTGAAAGAGCTCTGTAACGAGTCGCCATTGATGCCCGAAGATGAAGACCCGGTAAAGGAATAAAGTTGGCGACTTTATTAGGGTTTATGCAGGAATTGGAAATGGCGACGGCGAGGGAACGACCTTCTATCATCGTCCCCGGTATGATACATATACAAAACAACAAGAAGGGATTCGATCGCCGGCGGAGCAGGTTCGGCCGATCGGGAAATGGATTCAATCGGAGTCAGATCCGAGATCAGAGACGTAATTGGCCGGATTAGGGTTGTAGCAGAGATAGGTCCAGAGGGAGAGCGCGAGGCGGCCGATTTGCTGCATCGGTACGCAGAAGATGAGGTGGAGGACTTGGTCGCTGTGTAGAATTTCTTTTTTTCATTTTTTATAATTTTTTTTTATAATGATGTGTAATTTCTAAAAATTTCATTTTTATTTTTTAATGATTTTTTATTTGCCACGTCACACATTTAACGATCAACTGTCAGAGTTGACCGCCACGTCAGTCAAAGTTAACGGAGGTTAACGGAGAGTGACCGAACTTGAACTGTTCAACTAATTCGAGTGACTATAAATGGAATAAATTAATTTGAGTGGCAAACGTGAAATTTTATAGCAATTCGAGTGACAAAACTTGCAATTAAGCCATTTTCTCTTCATCTTTAATTGTTCGGTTAATCTCTAAAATAAATTTTCCCCCTCATTAACATATGCTTAATTAGGTCATCAGCTCGAATATTTGACGAGATTGAACAAGGAGTTGTTGTTGTGAGCAGAGCTGCCCTTCCTTCAGTATCTATTTCCTTCCAAAGCTAGTGAGTTACGTTGCATATTCAAAACATTTTCTGGATCAACATCATTCCTTCCTTCATGACTCAATGCTCTGTTAGCAAAGCTGAACTGAACTGAACGAATAACAACATACCGATTTACGTGGTTTCCCCGAGAACGGGACTAGTCCACGAGAGAGTATTACCTCTCCGAGCTGAAATATTATTAGGGTTTTATTCTCTCGTATCGTTATGGGTGATATGTTACACATATATATACATAGCTCAACTCACTACACCTCTCGACTACATAAGGGAAATTAACACGAGAAGCCCTCTACACGTATGGTACATTATGGGCCAACAATATAGAGCCCAATCCACTAACAGTCTCCCCAAATTGATGACTACTACATAGCATCAATTTGTCAGATAGAAACCAGTGACGGGACCGAGAAAACGGCTTAGTGAACAAGTCAGCAAGCTGGTCCTCCGAGACCACATGATGTAGTCGAATAACATCATTACGAACCAGATCCTGTACATAGTGAACATGTATCTCTATATGCTTCGTACGATCGTGCAGAACAGGATTGGCAGCAATCTGAATAGCACTCGTATTATCCACAAAGAGACTCATAGGAGAACTGCAGTGCACATCCAAATCAGCCAGTAAACATTGTAACCATACCAACTCAGAACCCACATCGGACATGGCCCGATATTCTGCCTCCGTCGAGGACTTAGACACCTTATCTTGCTTTTTACATCGCCGGTTAATAAATGCCCCGCCAAACCGAATACACCACCCCGTCGTTGACCGACGCGTGTCCACACAACCCCCAAAATCAGAATCAGAGAAGGCCTGGAGAGTCAAATCACCATATGACGGAAGGAACAACCCAACATCACGGGTACCCTGCAAGTATCGCAGAATACGATGAACAGCCGCCAAGTGATCACCACGCGGATCAACCATAAATTGGCTCACTACCTGTACTGCATATGAAATATTGGGACGAGTAGACGTCAGGTAGATCAGCTGCCTACCAAATACCGGTACTGAGAAGGATTATCCACTGGAGCACTGGATTCCTTAGTAAGTTTCAAGTTGGCCTCCATAGGAGTAGAGACCGAAATACATTCGGTAAAGGCAGCAGACGTGAGGAGCTCGGTGATATACTTCTTCTGACTCAACAAGATACCACGATCGGACCGAGTAATCTCCAAACCCAGAAAGAAGGAGAGAGCACCAAGTTCTATCAATGTAAAAGACTCGTGAAGACCCTGCTTGAGACGTTGAATGCCATGCACATCATCTCCAGTAATGATCATATCATCCACGTATAAGAGCAAAACAATAATACCTGCGCTGGAGCGATGAGTAAACAAAGAGGGATCATTAAGACTTTGCTGAAAACCAAGCCCCATGATCGTAGTTTGAAACTTCTCAAACCAAGCTCGGGGGGCTTGTTTGAGGCCATAGAGGTACCGCCGCAATAGACAAACCTGATCTGGATGCCCAACCTTATAACCTGGCGGACGAAGCATATAAACTACCTCCTTCAAGTCACCATGAAGGAAAGCATTGGAAACGTTCAACTGAAACAGAGGCCAATGACGAATAGTAGCAACCGCAAGAAGAGTTCGAACCGTCTGCATCTTAACAACCGGGGCAAAGGTCTCCTCATAATCAAGACCATACTCCTGACCACAACCTTGAGCAACTACATGAGCCTTGGGGCGCTCAATACTGCTATCCACCCTCACTTCAGGGCATAAACCCAGCGAGAACCCAGAACCGGTATGTGGGGCGGAGGCCGATCAACCACAATCCACACCCCCTTAGCATGAAGAGCATCAATTTCGAGATCCATAGCACCATCCCACAACGGATTCCCCGTAGCCTGCTTAAAACAAGTAGGCACAGACACAACATCAACATGATATGTAACAAAGTCATTATACCTGACGGGAAGTTTCCCCTGGGTTGTACAAGTCGAACGTCTAAGAGCCTGCTCGACGTGCGGAGGAGAAGGAGTTGACATAGACGAGCTCGATGCGGATGAGTCCGATGTCGTGGAGGGAGAAGGCGAACCAGGAGGAGACGAGCCAGGGGAAGGCGAGCCCGGGGAAGGCGGATTGGGGGGAAGTTCTTCATCATCTGGAGCATCAATATCATCGGGAAATGAGGGCAAGTTGACAGACATCGATACCCAACCGGACGCGGACTGAGACTTGGCAAAAAAGTACATTAGTCGTTCAAAGAATACCACATCACACGAGATACGTAGACGTTGAAAATCCGAGTCATAACACAGGTACCCTTTGTGAATATCGCTATAACCCAAAAAAACACACCGTGTTGTTTAAGACGACAACTTAGTGCGTTCCTTGAGAGGAAGTAACACAAAACATGTACACCCAAACACCCGGAGCCGTGAATAGTCTAGATACTTCTCAAAAAGCATGAAATGCGGACTGGCCTGAGCAAGAACAGGGGTAATCTGATAATTAATCAACCGAACAGCAGTCGCCACCGCCTCAGGCCAAAAACGAGCCGGGACATGAGATGCAAGAAGCAAAGCCCGAGTTAACTCCACCACATGCCTATTCTTGTGTTCCACTAAACCATTCTGCCGAGAAACCCCAGGACATGATTTTTGCATCAAGATACCCGGATCACGAAAGAAGGAAGCCAAAGGATGCGAACTAAACTCACCACCAGGATCCGATCGAACAATCCGCACCGAGCGACCGAATTGGGTCTGAATCATCTTAACAAACTCCATAGCAATCGAAAGCAACTCCGATTTAAGCCGAAGAAAATATACCCACGTGAATCGAGTCGCGTGATCAACAAATAAAGCAAAATACTTGTATCCATGAAGTGAGAGATCAGGCGAAGGACCCCATAGGTCCGTGTGTACCACATGAAACGAATCTGAAATAACAGTATGGCTGGACGGGAATGAGCTACGAGTCGTCTTTGCCTCAACACAACTAGTGCAAACAAAATCACCAAAGGAGCTATCAACCTTTTTATTACCAAATAAATTCTTTCTGAACATAGCAATCAATCGACTCGAATCGGGATGACTCAAACGAGAATGCCAAAGATCCATATCCGAAGATTTAAAACTCGAAACAACCAAAACAGAGGGCTGTAAACCCGACCCCCCCAGAAACCAACTCATGTGACTCAGGAATCGAACAAGACACATCAGGTTGATCCGAAAACTCCTCTAGATGAAAAATTCTCCCCCTTTTACTTTCCTGGCCGATCTGCCTCCCCGTCGTCTGATCCTGAACAACACAACCAGAAGAATCGAACACAACGCGACAAT